GTCATATTTCCTGACGAATTTGATGAAGAACATGAGAGAGCAGGCCCTTCTTCTGGCTTACGACAATAATATACGCCAAACAATGGTTATTCCAAAAGGGTTTGCAATGCATCTTTAATATGCAAGTGAACTTTTTTTTCATAACGATATTCCGAGCACAAATTGACATCTTCCGAGTACATCAACGAAGGAATTAAGAGAGGAAAAGGGACTTCCCCGCCCCGCCACTGTTGACGATATGATGACTATATTGACGCCCCAACTACAGAAATATTTGGAATATTACGATTTCTCTCAGTATGCTATACAGTGAGAATCTAGGAGCGTAGATGGGAATAGCGGAACGACCTGAACGGCAGGCTTGCGCTCAACGAAACATAATAATACCGATTATTGGAAAACGTCTTGATTGTCTATAGAATATTATAGTATTTCAGTTTGTAAAATCATAAATAAAGTCAACTAAACATGTATTTGACAGAAAATCGATAACTACTTCGATGTGACTGTAGATTACCGTAACCGCTGCATATATGCATTAACTAAATTGTAATCGATCTTCTTTTTGTTGGTAGTATCCCACGAGAATTATCTATATCCTCAGCAGCAACGGTGAACTGGTTTCTGTCAAGCACAACGAAGATAGAACAGGCAATCGCCAACAGTCGTAGTCGAAGAGAAAGCTAGGCTGAGTATCTCAAGATCAGCAACCGGCATTCTTCTCTTGCCCTATTGAAACAAGAGGGGAGCATATTACTATTAAACATCATCAATATGAGAGATAACATGTCATGTTGCATTTAGAGCCTTGTTTCTAGATTGACTCGGGATCTCGAGTTAAACTGCGAGTTGTATCGACAATATTAATAGCCATAACGTTACACGAAAGTGTAAGTAACCAACTTTCTCATGTGCAAGAATGGAATCAACTTCCAAGCTATCAGTACAATTCAGTGAGAATGTTTCGGGTTGTCCGGCAATTGACCAGCTAATTCAATCTTCAAAAACTCTTGACAACGGAGATATATTATCGAGTGGATACCTCGAGTGGATACCTTCCTCGAACTTTACCGAAATAGAACCAATTCAATATCTTACCGGCCTAAAAATCCGTTATGCTACATATAGTGGACGATCCGCAGTGGTGTTCTTATTTCTTGGAACCAGCGACAAATGTAAACACGAATTTATAAATGAAGTTGCAAGGATATATTCACTCCCAACACATAAATATAGAAATATCGGACAGTTTAAACGATGTTCTGTCTTGCTTTCGCTGCGCAACACGTTGGCGATGAAAGGCTTCACTTTTTATGAAGATAACTACTATCTCGTCGCGAATAAAGGATTCCAGCAACTGTTTCTAACATGGGGATTCTGCTCTGCATGCGGAATCCTTAGATGCAGCCCTGTGTGGTGCGTTTGTGGCCATAAGGAATTATCGAACGGGTGGTCTAGTGGCAACAAAAAACTCGATGAGTTTATCAGAGACACACAAAGACAAACCAAGACAGCGAATGATTCTCACTTGGCGTGGCTGCCATTTAATTGGCTCGGTTATAAAGCATCGTTTGAATTCGTAAATGCCAATAAGGACGACCCTCGACGGTATTCAGTGGCGCGTTTTAGGCGCTCGTCTCTTTGCTATTACAACGACTTCATTCCACTTGAAACTTTGGATTTAGCAGATGATTTGTTCTATCATAAGGTAACCGTTCACTTACGTTTGCAAACATATATTGTGAATAATTTGGTCAATAACATTTAATCACTATTAGTTATGTAATGATTACCCAGACATACTCGATACAAAGGTTTGGATCGTCAGTGGATTCACATATCACCCACAGTGGCAAAAATATGCTCTAGTTAGAACTAAATATGGAAATGAGCTATGTCTGTCGTGCTCTTACTATTTACATCCTAGTATAAGTGCCTTCTGTCTCTGGTGTAAAGAATTGAGATCTCCTGACTGGACCACTGGAAACAAGTCACTAGATTCATTTATAATGACATCTTGGCACAATATGCGACACATATATGATGGTTATCTGCAGTGGGTAGAATATGCCCAGCTAGTAAATATTCAAAAGAGACCATTATTGGGCCATGAATGTTCACATGCTGCAGATTGGTCCAAATCAATAAAAAATGAGAACAAGTTGGTGAAAGTGAAACTCAAAAAGATAACAAATGAGCAGGATACTCAAGTATTTGATTTCCATCAGGTAAATTAATTATATGACCGTTAATAATGTATTGAAATCATGATAATACTAAATATCTTATTTTTGTTCGAGGTAGTTATGTGAAGACTATCCGAACATATTAACTCCGGATAATATATGGATTATTGGTATTACCCGGGAACCATTAAGAAAAGAGTACCATATTGTGTTCTACTATGATATGTATTCGATTTTGGATAATATCGTCCAACTTGCAAGTTCGGACCCTACTACTACACATAGCTTCAAATGGATACAATATGAAAATTTTTATGAAATTAATGAGATTGGATCTGGTGGATACGGAACAGTTTACGTCGCGAAAGCCAGAGCAGTTTTTTTTAATGATAAACGAATCCAAACCGTTGCTTTAAAACGGTTTAAAAAGTTTGAAGCATCATTTGAATCATTTATTGCTGAAGTAAGTAGTTCAGACTATTTGTCTGCTATTATTTGCAATGCAAATTATAACGTCTCCTATCCATTAATCAATTCCGTAGATTAAAAATTGTATCAATTGCGGCCATGATGAATTTCTTCAAATTTATGGTATCACGAAAGAGCCAAAAACCGAGGAATATTTGATCGTAATGCAATACGTGGAAGGTGGCAATCTGTTAACTTACTTGGATCAAAACATCAACAGATTGACGTGGGCAATGAAAGTCGACCTTGTGAAGGCAATTGCATTTAATTTAGAAGTTATCCATAGCACAGGATCAGTACATTGTGACCTTCATGGGGGAAATATACTTTTAGATAACGTCTCTACTTCAACTTTTCCCAACCTTAATTTTGTCTCATACATATGTGACTTTGGACTTTCTCACTCGGTACATTCACCCGAACCAAATTCGATTCAAGGTGTGTTGCCATATATTGCGCCAGAAGTTTTTCATACACACAAATTCACTCAGAAATCGGATATATATGCTTTTGGCATTCTTATGCATCAGATTGCCAGTGGCGAACCACCATTCAGAGACAGTACATTTGATTATGAATTGATATGTGACATTTGTAACGGATTGCGACCAAAAATGCCTGATTCGGCTCCCGAACCATACCGAATGCTCGCCGCGAAATGTTGTGATGCCGATCCGAGCAATCGTCCAGATGCCGAACAACTTAAAGAATATTTGCAGAAACTTATAAGCCAATATGAACAGGACGTCTGGAGTACCATTTATAAGAATGAAGTCTCAAAATCTGTGTCACGCATTGAGAAAGAGACTAAATATTCGAGTCGAATATTGTACACTGCCGATCTAACTGCAGCGAAAAACAGCTGTGATGTTATAGGTATGAAGACAAGAATTTTAGTAACTTTGAATTGAACCGTAAATTTTTAACAGTTATTTGCTTTTATTAGACTCGAAACTAATTGATCTTGTGATACCAAATGAATTTTCAACCCTTCGTAGGTATTTTTGTGTGCATGTATGCAGTATATTTAATTGCTCAATCTGTGAATAGAAACTGATTGTCATACTCTCTGCCTAGATTCAGATGATTGAATTGGAGAAGAGGAAAAAAGTGCTTCAGAGATAAAATGGTCCGCTGAGAGTGCAAGATGATACAAGTGCTGTGTATGCTCTGAACAAATTCGTCGCAATTAGGTTGGGGTGACATTCATTACATAATTTACGCATAAATACTCTTCGGCGTACATATTAAATCATGTGGATCATTATATTCTACTAGAAATTTAAAACCTCTTTCGTAACAAAACGCACGTATTAATATATTAATATAGGTTTTAAGAGGTTGGTCGATGGATAATTCTACGTGGATCGTAAAATGCTTGACATTTCACGTAGCTTCGGTCAGTCAGATTGTCATGACTTATAATTTTTTTGCCGGCATAAGGCAATGCTATCGTCACTCGATATTTTAACTACGAATTAGATTTGTGTCGCCTGCGCGTCACATTATCTCAACAATATGCAAAACGAGTTAAGGAGTTTAGGAATCTGACAAAATGAATTTTTATAACGAGAACCATGAAATGTATATTGGCTTTTTATTACGTAAATTGGGCTCGTATCTTATCATACAATTAGATTACGACAAGTAGACAATGAATATAAAATTTATAATATTCTCAAAACTCTCAAAATAACGTCAAATTCAATTATGGACGCTGCTCTATTCATCGTCGACCATAGCAAGAATGCTCTTCCTCTTGTATACAACGGTAAGGATTCATCTACATCGCGTCCATATCTTCTTACCCGCCCTCTTAAGTGTCTTCGAAACCTTTTAATCTCTTCATAGCTTGGGTTTAGACAAGTCCTTAGGGATAGGTAGACGACTTCAAGAACGTTTTGTAAAGAGATCTCAGGTGACGCCAAATACGGTCAACAGACCATCATAACCTGTACAATGTACAGTAGGTAGGACGTATTTCACATAGGGAGAGCATGAGAATTAAGATCACATTGCCGAAGAAAAGTAAAGCTATTATTGTTAATATCCTTTTCCAGATAGACTCTCCATATAGTCCCACAAATAAATATCCTAACGGAAATAAATTAATTTTCCTTACCTGTCTCAGGAACCTTTACTCACATCCTCGCTCTCGTCAATATATTCACCTAGAGATTCATCTGTTGAGCTTTAATCATTATCTTCCACTTTTACACCATCCTCATCATCTCCCCTCGTCATTTGCATCACCACTGCCACTTTCAATCAACATAGGTCCGGACTTTTTTCAACAAAGTCTGAATCATACATAAAATCATCGTCTGTAAGTCCGAATGTTTCCCCTTACGCGTTTTGAGGTCTATCTTCATTAATCCATTCATTTATCGGCTGTCTGACATGCTCTGTGTCTATCCCAATTCCAGTTGCTTCATTATCTCCGTTCCCATCGTCAGCCGTCCAACCACCATCAACAATCGTGACTTCATGCCCCATATAACGCTTGTATAATCTCCCATGACCGCCTTCAGAATAAAACTTTACGTGTTGTATACAGTTCCATGGGTGTCCAACCAATGTAATCGTCCCACCCAGTTGCGGAAAGCTGAATCTGACCAGTGGTAATGAGAATTAGAAGACTGTTGACGTGAGCGACGTGCGATAAAGGAACTGGGTACACATCGTGCAGAAGCTGTCCATTTTTGTGTTAGGGAGAAGGGAAAGAGGGAAAAAAACAACCTGCTGTAAAGGACGAATACTGTGCACGAAAAAAGTTTTTTTTTTTATGCCAGAATTCGAAAATCTCGACATTCTAAACAGACCGCGACGTATTTCCTTTGCCTCGTGAAACAAAAGATTCTATTTATGGTAAACAGTCATAAGACGCAATCTTTTTTTGGGTAAATATGAAAATCTTTTTGTCAATTTAACCTGGGCGGGAAAACGTAGGTATGTGTGATAAGGAAAGTGATTGGAGGGAAGAGTCGTAATAGGCGAAATTGGCTATTTGGTTTTTAAGGGGGGTTTTCCGTAATAGTAACGAAGGATAATAAATGGTGTTCTAACTATTATTAATAATATAATGGTATTGTTTGTTGGGAATCAATTAGGCCATAATAAAGTTAATATTTTCATCGAATATTGTGTCCATCATTACTCAATGGTGCAACCTCCTCTGCGTCTTTCATCTTCGTTTTGTTATATATGTTCAGTTCTTTAGCGGGATCGACAAGAATACCAGTTGTGAGTTACATCTCGTGCGATGAATTTTCTGCGATGAAGAGGGAGTTTATGTTGTTTTGTTTTGAGGAAATACAATGATTGTCTAAAAATATTCGAGAATAATGACGCATCATCAAATACTTATGTATGAAGTAAATTGCTTCTTCTGACACTGTACGTCGGCATGCCGCCATCATTTTTGTTTGCATCGAATACTTGTAACAAACGTTCTATTAATTCTGAACCGACCGAGTGCATTTTGACACTTGCAACATTTATCTGACCAACATGCTGCAGAATAGGATTTTCCAATGCAAGCAAGTTCATGTCTATGAGAGTGCGCCCCCAACTCGCCCACATCTCGTCGTCTTGTTTTGTGCATCTTCTCTCTATCGAGCCGATAATCTCCTGTTTGAAGTTGTATCGATTATCATCAAGTCGTTAATAATAGTAATTCTTTTGCTGGGCGTTTATCTCCTAATCAAGTTTCCGAAACTGAAGATGTTCTTTTCCATCCCTTTCTCCCCATCGCACGTAAATGACCAATACCCACTTACCCAACAGTCATATGCGCATACATCATGCATATAATGAATCCACAACACCCAACAACATAACTTGTGCATTTTCCGACAAAGTTCCCTTATGAAAAGTCCAGCAATTCGTAGCACAACATAAAATAATTATTTTTTCACTCAAAACTCGCCACAAAACGTCCGCGGAAACATTTTATAGTTTCCTGCACGATTATCAACATTCACTCCCACGCATATCATTGTGTACAGGTTGCATATGCTCTACCCACGAGAAACTATATTCATCCAACGTGTGTCATGCTTCAAGATAGGTAAGATAGGTAGAACAATCTTATAGGTGTCGGTTTCTATATGGTTGGGTTAATTCTTTGTCGTGTTTATTTCTTCCGCACTTATAACATTCCCCAAAACTCTATATTTGAACAAAAGAAAAGAAAAAAATTTTTAGATTGGGGAACATTGGCATCTAAATTTGGTACATTCACGGGATATTGAAAGAACATTTTTAACTTTTTAACACAAAAGTGTAAGAAGTTAGCGAAACAGCATTACACGCGTGACATAGGCATCGCATCGCATACAGCCTCATACAACAAGAACTCGAAGCGCGGCTAGCTTTTCTCTTTGTTTCAGGCTCTTTACTTTGCATACAAATCCCCACCTTCATATTCACCCAAGCCACATTACTTATCCTCTCCATACACTCCATTTTCATAGAATTGCTCAAGAATCTTGTCTACGACATCCTTTTGACATTATATTCCCTTCGCTTCTCGTGTTAGTTGCTCTGACCTCTCTTCATTAACTAACTCCGAATCCCAGCATTTCTCCTTTGTCTACCAAATTTAATTTCGTAATTTGTAGTTTGTATATTACGGGGGGGTTAATAAAAAAAGCGAAACTAAACAATCAAATGGCACCATTATCACCATCCCCGAATATGCAACCTACTACGTCACAGACTTTTGGGTTTACTCTAACTCATACCACGCGGAGGAGCATATCGAACAGACCAGGCATATTAAATACGTCGAGCGTATCAAACATGTCATCTTTGCAGAGTGCACAATCGCTCCCAAGCGCACCAACGGTTTCAACCACTTCTCGCGGATTATCGTATGGGCTTCCATCATCTACGAGAGGATCTGGAATGGTGCCTGTTGCATATGCATCGCATCGGGCATTATCGTCATCACCAGCGTCTACGATATATCCCCGACCTGCACAAGAACAGGCAAACGCACATACACAATTGCATGGTGATGGCCCTCTTGCGATTTCTCAAGCGTATTCTATATTTCCTTTATCCACTTCACCTTCCTCCCAGTCGTCTCATTCGATATCACCCTCATTCTCCCATTCATCCTCAACATCGTCTTCGACACAGCCTTCACTACCACCGTTATCTGTAATACTACCGTCACTACCAACATCAGCTATGTCATCATCACCGACAGCAACAACGCCGACTACACCGACAATACCGACGACATCGACAACATCGACAACATCAACCACGTCAACCACGTCAACCACGTCAACCACATCAACTACGTCAACCACCTCAACGACATCGACAACATCAACCACATCAACCGCATCAACCACGCCAACCACATCAACCACGCCAACCACATCGACAACATCAACCACGCCAACCACATCAACCACATCAACCACATCAACCACACCAACCACACCAACACCAACAGCGCCGACAATACCTCTTCCAACCCGGTGGTCTCGTCGATTATATGCCCATCATAATCGAGTAAGAGCGCAGAGAGAAAGGAATCTGCTCCTTTCAAGGGCCATGAATAATGGTGTGAATGGTGTAGGAATGAGTGGCGGTGGTATATCTGGTAATAACAATGGTAGTGTTTCGAGTAGAACAGAAGGTGAGAATGAGAATAACGATGATATCACGTCCAATGGTGCATCTGGTATGCAACTCTTATGTCTTGTGTTTTGTTATATTTACATGTTTTCCGTTGTTTTTAACTCGTCCGTTATTCTCTTTCACTTTAACCAGATATATACCTCACCGAAGATGATATTCCAAGCATGCATCATCACTTTAGGAGCAAGACCGTGTGTAAACTGAGTTGTAAACATTGCGAAACTGGAGTGTGCGTTCGAGGAATGAAGGTGAGTTTTCGAACAGGTTTATCCCAAAATCGGAGTAGAAGGGATGGACAAGTGGAGGATTATGGTGAATTTGAGTATTGTAATACATGCAAACGAATTTAACTTCATGGTCTCGATTTGTGTTCATCATATTTTACCATAGGCAATGTTATTGGCAGACATACGGATTGAGCTGTATTCGACTGATGTTCCCCCGTTATCGTGAGTGTTGAACATTTCGAGTTAAATGATCTTCAAGGATACAAAAAATACTAGATTTACTGATTTGTATCGTAATTCTACTCTAATAACAGAGTTCAGTTGGTGGGAGATGATTATATGACGCAGAATTGTCATTGTAAGATTAGGGATGTTGCGTGTCTTACATGGTGAGTAGAATTAGTATCTAGTAGACCAAATTCCGGTAGGCATAGAAAACAGACTTGTCGTATGAGAAGGGTAGATACGAATTCAATTTGATGTTCCTAAATTTTTCTGATCGCATTTTTATTTTATTTTTTTGTTAGCGGGAACGTACTTGGTTATCATATAACTCAACCATGTCAGACATGCATGGAAGCTTGCAATAATGGGCATTTTTGGATGTTTCATACAGATGGGGTGAACAGCGAGGAGAGGTTGGATGCAGATGGTAAGGCGCAAGAAAGTATATACTAAGCGGGTCTATGAATTATTATTTAACTTGTGATATATGATATTACTGAACACTTCGTTATTCTACATGTTATCATTAACTCATACATTTTGTAATTTGCTTATTAGGTCAAAGAATTCTACTCTGGGCACATCTTCCACGTGCGGAGAGGGACTCGGAGATTTTACAAATAGACAACGATGACACTGAATTCTGCTATCGATGATTTACGAACAAGGCTAATGTATGCACCAGCAACTTGCTATAGAATGCCACTACTATACATTGCATTTACTACCCTTGTTGTAGTATCTAATTATATCATTCACAAGAGGAATATTATGTGATTGATCGAGTAAAATTGGGTCAACGGCAGGCTAGTGATGGGGTATGCAGATTCTGAATCGAATTGTAATTAGACTTACGGGCAATTCTAATGGTTAGTTGAGCAAAGTAATAGAGACAAGTTGTGGTGATGACAACTGCCTTGTCGGGCTGTGTATTAGGATGATTGTAGCTATGAACCATTAAAAACAAACATTCGGGTTTTATTCACATAGTTTCTATGAAACAGTCATATAGACTTTGTAACAAACACACATTTCTAGAAATCACACTTGCAGTTTTCTATTTATTTATTCTTTGTCAATTTTGTTCACAGTAATCTAAATTGTAAGCTCATCGAGCTCATCATTCCAAGTTGTCTCTTCCGTTGGCTCCTGGTTCACTACTATTTATTTCTTTTAGCGACTAGCAAATAAAACTTTATATTACTGTAATTGAGAATGGTTGTTACAGTGTGTTGCAAAAGTTTTTGGAAAATTATACGCGTACGAGGGAGGACTCGACTTTTTTTTACTCGAATAATGGATGCTAACTTTTATGTGGACATCTTAACAAAACATCCGCCAGAGATCAATAGAATGCTTGGTAACGATTGGAGGTTTCAACAGGACAATGACCCCAAACATACAAGTCGTATTGCCATGTCATTCTTAAAGGAAAACGTGCCCGAAGTTATGGACTGGCCATCCAACAGTCCAGACTTAAACCCTATCGAAAATCTCTGGCATATTGTTAAGACCAACGTAGAAAGAAGAATGCCTAAAAGTCGAGCACAATTGGAAGAGTTTATGGTAGAGGAGTGGAATAGAATATTATAATTAATTTAGTAGAATCTATGAGAGACAGATGTCGCTTGGTGATTGAGAGAAATGGCGAACGTATTCCATATTAAATTTAATATAATAAATGTGTAGGTTGTAACATTTCAAATGAGGTATTAGACATGTAAATTGGTGCGGTGGTTATGAAGTTATTAGGAATAATTCTATTCCAAGAACTTTTGCAACAAACTGTATTTGGGCACTTTTTGCCAGTCAATCTTCTGCGAAGTAAATTGTTAATTACATAGTAGAAAAGGGGGGATTACTAATAGCCATGGTAATATCATTGTCGTTATACAATAGAGTAGCGGAAATTGAAATAGCAGAATAATGTTATTACGATTGGCTGTATTGACATGCTTGGATATGTAACAATAATAGCTAAGCCAACATAACCACGAATTCTCTCGCACGTCGCTCATATTAAAATAACGCGTTTGTGATATCAAATTATCACGTAATCGCTATGAGAGTATGGATGTTTGTTGCACTCCTTGATTGAACTTTCAAATGGACTATGTTGTATGTATTAATTATACATTAAGCGCGGAAATCTTCCATAAGGCTTGGTGAGTGTTACTTGAATACGCCAAGGGATACAATATGTGAGCATTAACACTAATGCTCCCGAAAAAAAAGTTGATTCTTTTACAGACCAACAAGTTTTGTGTAGAATTGAACAACAACTTTTGATAAAACAAGCAAGTTTCGAAGATATGCAATTAACAAATTTCTACAGCACAACGTTGGAAACATTCACTGTTAGTGCTACGCGTTGTTTATACATTCAGTATACCACACATGTCGCGATTAAGAAGATACATGCCATTATGATATAATAGTTGACTTGTGTGTTCTAAAATGTTACACTGATACTAGTTATTTTCCTTTTCGGAGACAATGAGTGTATTTGTCAGTTGTTGCAAGCTCACGCTCCTTACTTATACGCAATTACTTATATACTGTATGTAATAAATCTTTATAGGAACGGCAAAGTCGGATGCTCTTTTAAATAATGGAATATTTTAATTCTTTCATTGACCGTCAACTATAGTTTAGTCACTTTAAATTAAATAATGTAAACGCGTATTATATTTTTAACCCTTTTCAGAATACAAACGTATACGTACAAATATTTGAAATATATAATTATTATACCTGATCGTGATCTCCGATAAGTATTCCGCCATTACTTTACGGGCGGTTTTAATTTGGCAATAACATTAGTCCATTATGTGGCTTCTCCTTTCAGTCTTTGCTCATACTCTCAATTCGTCTAAGGCGAAGAAACTCTAACCGGGTTTGCAAGGAAATGCCCGAACACTCACAAATCTCTTTTTATTACACAATTGGAGGAATTTTATCAGTTATATCAAATATGTACTGCAAATACAAACAATAATGTTACAAACTGAGCTATTACTATAATAAGGGATCTCAACAGTTGAATAGTAGGGGTTACGGCACTCGGCAGAGACTAAGCAGAGAATTAGCGAAGCACTTAAGGGCGCGAACAATCCTAAATAACGTTTATTCTCACAAAAAACCTGCACAACATTACGCCATTGTCGAAGATTAGGAAGAATACAGATCTTGTCACTGAAACCGATTCGATAACAGCACAAGCGCAAAAGTAAACCTACCCTGATCGAATGGCCATAGGGTTTACAGTATAGTTGCGCTGAAAATATTCTATTACTATACCTTAGATTACACGAGTTTCTCCCGACGAAGGAGTCGGTTGTACACAACGTCATAGTTGTGCAATCTTAGCGTTTTGTGACAGTGCTTAGTTAATCTAATGTCGGCGCAAGTAAGTGTTGTGATTGGATGATGGTCTTGGGTCAATACTCTCTTTCTAATGGAGCAAAAAATTACCTCATGGTGTCGTTTAAATATGTCGCGTGATATACACTACCCTACCATAAATCACCGGATTTTTTGTCACGTGTTTGAAAATAGATATGAAATTTTTGTAGCGACGTTGACAATTTTCAAACTTATTAACCATCGATACAAATTCTCCATGATAAACTACTGCTTTTATTGTTGCATACAT